GGAGCGTGAGCGACTTGCAGCGCTTTAGTTTAGTCCTCACTTTGATCAGGACGTCCTCTGGTGTAGTACTTAAAAGTTGATACTTCCACCCCACGGTATTACGCCAGCTTTGAACTTCATTGTGTGTTAGTTGTGCGATAATCTGGACCTTGGTTACAATTCTGTGTGCTGGTTAAGGCGGAAATCTGTTCCAAGAATCTCTCTGCGCGTTTTGAAATGTGTTTTTTCCCTTGAAAGGTCGTTTTGTTCTGGGTCATGATTGGATGAACTTGTGAATCGCACGTTTAGACAAGCCAAGTTAGGCCGCCGTCGATCTAAACCGTTAGGTGACGGCGTCACTGAGATTAGGTGTGTTGAAGTGACAGCGCGTCATTGACACGGCCGCTACACTCGTCATCGCCACTGTGTGTATGGGTGTGTTGTGATCAGAATATTATTATATTTTTTTGCTGCAGACCGCTAGTTCTATGTAATCGCAATAACGGTAAATGTGCTGTGTGTTCATTTTGCTAAAAAAGTGGGGGAAAAATAATCGAAGCTGAATGTTGCTTGAAAGAAAGAAATTAGATCTAGATCTTTAGAGATCTATGGCGACTATGGTTTGAAAGTAACATCTGCAAATTATAATTTTTTATTTTAATTAGACCAGCCGGGCGTATTGCTTGCAGTGTAGATTTTCTGTGCAGTTAGAAATCTTGACGCGAATAGCAAGCGGGGAATTCTGTTTTCTTTGTGTGTGTGTTTAGCCCTTTACCAGCGTTTTATGGTCTCTGCTATTTTGTAGCGAATGTCACAATGGCCCTAGTTGTCGTAGAACTGGGGGGAGAAATGGTGCCATGTATTGATTAACTCCGTGCTGCCTTTTTACCTGTCCTAGTTGACAGATGGTAGAGCCCACGTGCCAGAGTTTGAGCGCTAAGGTTGACCGTTGGCCGTCAGACAATGTGACCGTCTCTATCCTCATCACCAGTCCACGCGAGCATGCTTATTAGTTGGAGGGGCAAAAAAAAAATAAAACGGATTGGTATTAGCGTGTGGGTGCGCACGTGTGTCTGCCCGCCTGTTTGTGTGTGTGTGTACCTCCCGATTGAGCTGTTAATGAGTAGCGTTCATGTTAGGTCTTCCCTCCTGGTGTTGAAAGCTTCTGATCACATGACTACTAGCCTACACTAGGCTATTGATTGACTCGCTAACTTGCGTGCTAGCCCTGATTCATACCTGCTGTGTGCTCACATTGACCAACAAAAGATACGGGCAGGGCTAGGTTGTTGGGTTTTTTTTTTTTTCTTGTCAACTGTTCAATTCTCCGCCTGGACTAGGAATAGACAGAACCGGTCTTTTTTTCTTTCTTTGTTTATTAACCCCCCCCCCCCCCCTCTTTTTTTTTTTAACTTGGACATTTTTTTTTCTGTATACTGTATTGTTTTGTTTAGGTTTAGTACACTTTAAAAAAAAAAAAAAAAAAAGCCAATATTATAAGCTTGAAAACAAACCTCAGTGCTAGTAGATTGTTGAGTCCTTTGTGTGCTTTGATGACTTCAAGAATGTGATAAACTAGGTGCTTCTGGTGCTTTTAGTAGAACAGTAAACAGTTGGCTGTTTTGTGGCACTAGCCTTCTCTGTACATTTTATTTCGTTCTCAAGAGGCTTTAGACTATTTGATGCTCAGAATCTATGCCACAAATATTGTATCTCTACTGGGACTTTAGGTTAAGTGGTTGAGACATTTTTAACTCTAAAAATATGTCGTCACTGAGTTAGCTCTGCAATAAATTGAAAAGTTATATTTCCTAGCTTCTTTTGGGATGTTTCTTGTTCATAATACTTGCAGGGAGGTTTATGGTCACTGCTATTTTGTAGTGAATGTCACAGTAGCCCTCAAATTCTGTACCACTATAAGATTTTTAAATGTTTGCAAGACAAGGCTTTTAGGCAACAGCTGACACAACTTGTCAAATGTAATTGTCTTTCTAAATAAAAGCTGAACTGGTAGGATGCTATCATTTTCTATACATGAGCATCTAAGGATGTGTTAAGTTTACATTTTTACATCAACAGGAGACAATTAGCAGAAGATATTGAAGTTTCAAGAACTCTAAACCTAGTAATTTCAAAGTTGCATTCTGGTCAGCCTGAGAACTTGAAGAACTTGCTAGATAATTAGCTAAAGTGTATTGCTTGCAAAACACTGGGCAATCAATTTCACATGAAGGATGTTTCACTTGTATCCTGTCTCACTCAGGAAGGAATGATAAAAACTTAACCAACTTGACCTATGGAGCCTGAAATAGAGATACACATGGCTTATTATAGTCATCATCTTCATCTGTCCCTTGACTTTCATTGAAGGGGGGGGGGGGGGGGGGGGGGCTAAAACAAAATCCTTCCAGTCTTCCTGGTCAGCAGCTGTTCTTGGCAAATTATCAAAGAGAGAGATAGGCGGGCCCATTCTTTTAGGTCAGTTTCTTTGTGCTCCCTCCACTGTACCCCTGAAGGATGACTTTGAAAAACTAGGACCAAACCAGCTCAGTTTTTGTCTTTTCACAGTTTAAATCATTTTCTCCTATTCGCCAGACAGATATGGACTCGGTGAAAGTACCAACTCTTTTGTTTTATTTTCTTTCTTGGTCTCTGAAACCCAGCATTTTTCTGTAGCATTTATTCTTGACGAATTCTTTCATTGTCCAATCATGTCTCTGGAATTAAATCTATGACCCTCAGTTAATAACAATAATGTAACACCCTCAAATTTTATTGACCCAATACTCATGCTCTGAATAGGGTAATTATAAACACCAATATATATATATGTTTAGAATAGTCCAGATATAGACTGTTCAAATAAGGTACAAACACTTTTTTTAAAAATCTCACTGTATTTGAATTTTTAAAAAAGATGTCTATTCACAGCTACTGACATTAAAAAATTTAGCTTTTCGTTATGTGTACAGCAAGTATTTTACCATAGTTATATAGAATATTGTATTATGCATTGTATTGAAATGGCACAATTTAGAAGATGCATTTAAATATTTTTTTTTTCCCCCCGTTTCCTCAACTAGCAACTCTTTTTGTTAAGCACTAAATTTTTAACATAGGAAAAAGATTTCTGCTAATGTGTCTTTGGAATTGACCAAGCTATTTCATGATGTCTTGGTCATTTTGACATCTTATTGAATGTTTTTGTATCTAATACAATGTAGTTTCACTTTCTGTCTAGAGCTTTGACAGCTAGACATTCATCATAAGAATGTAAATTAGCCATAGCATTTTTTTTTATCTTTGAAGACATTATTTCTGTGTCAACTCTAATGAAGGTTTGTTTGAATCTTGTCTTCAGGTCGCATCAAACGTCCTAGAGATGAAGAAGGTGGTGAAGAAGAAGTGGACCTGCCCAAGCGACGAAGAGGAGAAGGACCTCGGATCGAGCTGCGCATCCTTATGCAGAGCAAAGTTAGTATCATTTCTACCAGGACGTAATGCCAAATTATATATGGGGATATGTGATGTGTTTCTGTTATACAGACATAGGTATGTTTTGAGACATAGGTATGTTCTGCTAGTTGGGGGGTAATTTTATGCTCATTATGTGTGATACAAACAGCAGGCTTGTAATACAGAAGCTAGAGACAGGTTGGAACGAATTTTGTTTTTAATTTAGGTTTTTAAATTAAAAGTTAAATCCATTCATGAATTATTTATTTGGTTAATTGAACTACAATAAACATTGATTAAAAGGGTGCGCACTAGTACTCCACTGTCTTGGCGGTAATGTAGTTACAAGTTGTCATTCTTTTGTCTGGCAGAATGCTGGTGCAATCATCGGTAAAGGTGGTGCTAATATAAACAGACTGAGGAATGATGTAAGTATTGATTAGCTTACTAGACTTTAGTTAACACATGTGCATTTTAAACATATGTTTTTAGACCAGTTTATATTAGGAAGTACTTTATTATAGTGATAGTAGAATTGATACTTAGATATTTTTAAATATTATGTTTTAAAATATTTTAGAAAAAAAAAAGTAGGAATTTTGATTAGTCCTATTAACTTGTAAGTAGTGTGTTTGTTGAACTCTTGTTACTTGAAGTTTCTTTAGTCATACACTATCAGCATGTTTCTGTGTGTGTTTGTTTTGTATCTTTATTTTTGAATCAAACACAAATTTGATTGACTTCGTCAACAAGGGTCCAGCTCCTGGAGACTCTTTCATTTTAGTTGAGTTGTCCCTCTTCTACACATTGCTCTAGAGACTAGGACACTGAAACTATCTTGCCATTCACATCTTCCTGAACAGTTGCTCATTCTCTTGATTCAATCTTTGAGAGCCGTTTAGGTGTTCATCCATCGATTCTTCTTGCCTTTTTCTGTTTCAGTCTATACAGAATGAATAATTGATTTATTACATTTTTTTTAGAAAATCAAACTTAAAATTTATACATCTACTGATGTGGCTTTTGTTAGTGAAATTGGAAAACAAAAATGTTTATTTATGATTGATTTGAAAATAAAATCTCAGCAAAGACCACATCGTAGATTTTATTTTTAAATGACAATGTTGCTAAACTATAATTACCTTTTCCACATTCCCGACAACTTAAAATTCATTCCCAATCAAAACAACATCCCGGTCCTCGATCCCTGGCCCGACCCGACCCTGGAATGGTCCCGGCCCTGGTCTTTCCCGATGCAGTACAAAGCCAGTGTTACAGTGCCAGATAGCAACGGTCCCGAACGGTAACCACCACTACCCAGAAAAGCAGTTTTTTTTTTCCTTTCTTTCTTTCTTTCTTTCTTTTTTTTTCCTTATTGTTACTATTACTCTATTAATTTTAGAATTGTATCTGTATTGTCTCTTTAACAACTTTTAAGGGGGGTGGCTTGATATATTTACCTTCTCTGTCATCACTACCACCTCTAAACCACAACCATCACCAACCCACAAGGGGAACCCGACCCCACCACTCCATCTATCCATCCCATGCCGACCATGTCATCACTTTTTTTTTTTTTTTCATTCTGTTCTCACATCACAGCTTTCTCTTGTCTCTGTTTCAACTAATTGCATCATTTACTTTAATTTAATTACTTAAGTTAAAAGATCTATTACTTAATTGTTAGTTTCTTAACAACTTAAAAATATCTAGTTACTAATTAAAGAACTTACATTAAAGTTAGATAATTGTTATCAATGCATTGGGAATGTGGTCGTGAACTTTGATGTTTTCTAATCAGAGTTCTATCCATTGGAGCTGAATTGGGTACAGTCCTGGACATGTTGCTGGACATCCTGCCAGAGATGGAAGATGTGAGTAGCATTTGTTCATTCAACCTTTTTTTTTTTTTTTTTTTTTTTTTCCATTTTTGATAACCTCATTTCAACAATACCTTCCCCATTATTGACTCCATTCAATGAGTTTGAATATTTTCTGGTCCAAAGTCTCGAAACAAAAGAAGTGATTCCGAGTCAGAGCTAAGAATGATAGTCCATCAGAGTCAGGCAGGTTGTATCATTGGAAGACAAGGATTTAAAGTCAAGGAACTCAGAGAGGTAAGTTGGTTTCACTTTGATTCAGTTTTCAGGCCATTTGAAGCCTGCACTTCAACTAACATCTATTGACACACATCTTTACAAAGCTTATATCAACTCACTCTGTCTATGTGGTAAAAAGTTAGTACACATTATTTTTCCGACACCCAATCTCTGATCAAGCTGAAATTTCGCACAATTATTTCTTTTACCTGATAACACAACAATAGATTTTAAAAAATTAACTGATTAGTTAATTAACTATTGATAATTTACAAATTATTTTGTTTATCTCGAACAAGGGAAATAAATTATACTTGACTAAAGTGGTGGTATAAGCTGAATTAGTCCCTATTATAGGTCGACGCTTTAAAGTAAGTTTAAACTAAACAATAGAAAAACTATTAAAGCTTCTATTCTTATACACACCTCAATAGCAGAGTGATTAGAATGTTGGCTTGAGTCATGAGTTGGAATTCAGGTCATTCCCTTTTTTTTTAAATAAATTCTTTCAAAAAACAATAACTGAAATTCACCCTGGTATCCATTTCGTCCTCCCTCTTCCTCTCTCTCTCTCTCTCTCCCCCTCCCCTCCCATTTTCCAGACTGGTCCAGATAGGTGTTAGTCAAAGCATATTGGGAAATCTAAAAGCATGAAATAGGGCTAAACAAAAACAAATCTGTAAAAACATTTCTAACCACACAGATTTATCTGTAGGTCTATATCTATTACAAACTTAATACATTTATATAAGTTTTGTTATTTTTTAAAAAGTATTTTTTAAAATGTTTTTCTTGTTGCTTTTCAGAAAACTGGAGCTAATATCAAGGTGTATTCTACATGTTGTCCCAATTCTACAGATAGAGTTGTAGCTATTACAGGGAAACCAAAGATTGTTGTTGGCTGTATTGAAGAGATTATTGAATTGTTACAGCAGGTCAGAAAGTTTTCTCATTTGGTTGCAAGCAAAAATGTCAAAGAAAGAATTTTATTTTGTGTGTTACTTTAGGACTTGACATCCATTGTAATCTTATTGAAATGTAGAACAGGATTTACTTGACCTATTTGCCTAAGCTGTTTAAAAAAAAAAGGATTGATTTATTGTGTCAGTGTTAGTTCATTTAAGTGTCAGGGCTAGGTCATCTAAGTGTCAATGTTAGGTCATCTAAGTTACGATGGGATTTTTTTTTTATTATAGTTTTAACTTAATAAAAGGAACTCACAATCTGAAAGAGCTAGAGATGAATTGGCTGTGTCAGCTTTTCCAGTTACATTTAATAGATCCACCAATCTTAGATGATGAAATGGATCAACTACAAGCCTTTCCTAAATCAGTCATAAAATGTGTTTCAGTTTCATAATGTCTCCCCAATGTGTGTTTCTTTTCAAACTCACCAACATATTTCTTGGACAAGTTTCCAAACACATAGTCTCAGCAGGTTTTTTTTTCTTGTTCCACCTCCCCAGTCTTACAAGAACCTCATAACTTGGCTTTAGAGACTTGTTGACTTGTTCTGGTCTAGTTAGTTGGCATCATCCTTTAACAGATTTGTTGAGTTTATCCTATACTGACATGTACATTAAATTGGATAGCTTGTATTGCACTTGTTTCAAAGTAGGAAGCCACTGTTGAAATGAGCATACAGATAATGTTAAAATAACTGATAGATTGTGAACAAAATATATATATTTGTATCTGCAGGCTCCCCCCAAAGGTCCCATCAACCCCTATGATCCATCCTTTAGTGATGAGTTCCTGGCGCCAGAGTATGGTGGCTTTATCACTGGCGACATCAGAGCAAGTAAAGGTTTGCCCAGAGGGGCAGCACCACCCCCTAGGGGGCTTAGAGGAGCCATGCGCGGTAGAATGTAAGTAGTATGACTTTGTATGTCTACTTATGTTGTACTTATTTCATAGAATAAATCCTTTGTATTTTGATTTCACACTAAGCACATGATTTGTTTTTCATTCCAGGGGCATGGAGGGCTTTGGTATGGGTGGCGGCATGGACTTTGGTCGACGGGGAGGCATGCGTGGGGGCATGCGAGGAGGAAAATCTTTTGGAGGGGGCATGGGGGGTGACATGGAACCTTCCATGGGTCGAGGGGCAGCATTTGGCAGAGGTGGATCAATGAGGTGGGTGATTTTATTGTATTGTGCTTTTTTCTTTTTGAACTCTTTCTGCCCCTCCCCATCTTAAACTCTTTGCATGCTCTGAAAGTGCAGTATTTCAGACACCAGTCTTAAGACATTGGTAGTCTGTTGTCATTCTCTGTTTAAAAATGTCCGGTTCTAATATTAACCAGCTTTTAAAGTCCTGTCTGCACTGATCTTTAAGCAATAGTTGCTGAACATTTTCTTTTGTCCTGAATTTCTTGTGAACTTCCAATGTCTCCTAACATTTGCAATATTTAGCTTTAGTTCTAACATGATGTCTTGAAATCTTGTCAAACATAATCTTTAGAATTAAAATTTGTCAAGAGAATGACAACCTTTTTTTTTTTTCTTTGAGCAGGAATATGAATGCCAATAATCTGGGTCTTGGCAGAGGTGAGATGTTTAAACCTTTTTTTTTTTTTAGGCATTTTCATAGGAATTAGTTTTAAATGTCTCGCAATAATTTGTATCCCTGAATGTATTCTGTACATGTAGCATAGAATAAATGTGTTTTCTGTGTCTTTGTAGGTTTTGGAGGTGGTTTTGGTATGCAGCAAGACTTTAGTGGTGATATGGTAAGTGCTGTAGTTCTGCTACATACATACAAGTGTTTTTTTGTGAATTTATTACTGGCCTGATTGCAAAGATCTGACTTCTTGTGTTTTTATTTTAGACCAATCTTGGTGGGGGTCAAGGCATGGCCTTTGGTGACGAGGAATGTGAGACAACCCAAGTGACCATCCCTAAAGATGTGAGTTCAGTGTTTTAATACATTTCTCCAAATGGTAACCTCAGACATAAACCAACTTGACTTATTGATAAGCTCTACAAATCTGAACCTTGTAATGTATGTTGTTCATAAGTGTCTTATTTTTCTTGTGGTATCTGATTGTCTTTCTAAAGAAGTAGTGATTTAAAGCCAGTTTGGGTTACCCATAGTTGTATTTGGTCTAATTATCTGTAACTATTGGTGTGCATTAGCTTTAATGTTACACTGTGTAAAAAGTATGTGTAACCAGTCTACAGATCCACCCACAATTTTGTGTGAAACTCAATGAATGCAATCTATTGATTTTGTATTCTCAGCTTGCTGGAGCAATAATTGGCAAAGGAGGCAGTCGTATTACAGACATTAGGCGACGATCAGGTGCAATGATTGTCATCGATGAACCATTACCTGGATCTAATGATCGTATCATCAGCATCAGTGGCACCCCCGATCAAATTCAAAATGCTCAGTACCTGCTACAGATGAGGTGAGCTATTGAATTAGTGCCTAGATGCTTGTCTAATAAATTTGCTAGATCTTATTTGACCATTAACCCTCTACAGTCTAACCTTAGAATTCTGTTAGACCTTATGTCTTTAAGTAAAGTGTTAAATTTTGACTTTTAAGTAAAGTTGTAGACCTCATGTCAAGTTAAGTGTTAGGATTTTTTTTTTAAAGTTAACTCCCTCAGGAAATAAAAGTAAAGCCATTATTTTTTTGTTTCATATATAGTTCATTTTAATAATTTTACGAAAGAAAAAAATATTTCCATTAATGTAATTCCTAAATCATCCAAAATCACCTTAACTTTTAAAAAGAAATACAAAATAGAACTGCATGTCCAATGGACCTCATTCACCAATCGTAAACTAACAACATTTTGCCACGTGGTGCTCTATGTCTTCTATATAATTTACGATCTCATGTTTAATTCATGATGGTTGTCACGTGACAGTTTTTTCCGTTGTTTTATCAATAAGATTACGTGACTAAATGTTGTTTGTTTACTATTGATGAATGAGGTCCATTACCAGCACATGAAAAATTTGTTATGAACTCATCCATTGCATGTAGCATGATATAAGATCTAATTCTTGTGTACTTATTAGTCATGTATTTATTGTAGAGAACAATCTCTTTTTGAAAGACTCTTCAAGATAGTTTTAGAGCAAGAAATGTCTAAACTTTATAAACTTTTAAATAATGTGATTGAAACAGGACAAGTAGATTTGTGCCACAGAGAGATTATTTTTTCAACTTTTTTTTCTTTTTAACAGCTAGTTTATTCAGTAATTAGAAAGAAACAAAATATTTGTTAGCCTTCAGCTTCTAAAACATTCTAAGATTTTACTAATTCTTTTAGTATTAATTTAGATTTAACATTCTCTCCAGAACAGTGTCCAGAGTACAGAATATCTTATGACTAATGCAATAACTAGAATGTTTGACTAGTCACTTAAATGGGGGAGGAGGGGGGTAATAATGATTGAAAAGAAATTGTTCAAAATCTTTAAAATTATTTATTTTTAAGAAGTTAGCATTGTTAATCTTGTGTATGTCAAATAGTTAAGCATGGCTTTTTTCATTTTAGCAAGTGAATCTTAAACATGGGAATAGCAACCTTATATCTGCCTTTTGAGATGAAAGTAATTAGTATCTTTACTAAACTAGTTAACATGGACAGTGTGTATGAATACATGTAGTGTACCTTAGATTGGTATAGTAGATTTTTAGTGAACTAAATCCAATATGACTAATATCTCTCAAGACTTTGCTCTTTCTACACCATCGCTAGACTCCTGCTTGAAATTCTCTGGTGACGGTTTCTTTCTGCACTAACTCTAACCCTGACTGTTGTGGTTTGGAAGACTAGTGATTTAGTTGTTTTGTAATGAGACCAACAATAAATCACAATCTTCTAGGACTACGGCAGTCACCTAACCTCTGATTGGCTTGGTGCATGTTACATTTACAGCAACAAAATTAGACCTGCATGATTAGATACACATCTGACCTGGAATGAAGCATGCAGCCTGCTTTCTGAAACAGATGAATAGAGAATTGGACACTGTTGTACTGGCAGATATACCAGATGACAAATTGCTAGGTTTCTGCACATTCAGTAGAATGCTGCACTGATAGTTCTAGACAAAATGCAATTCTGTTACTGCTTTCATGAGTACCTGATGGCTGTGAAGGCTAGAGTCCACTACAAGGTGGCCACACTTATCAGTGCATCAACAGTAAAGAAATGCTTGTGTACCTTAATAAACAGATCACGTGTCCCAAGAGCACCCACGATTCATGGAATCAACACTTCGAGTTGTGCAGCTGTTCTCTATCAATAGTTTTGTTTTGCAGGCTTTTTCATTTTGCAGACCAAATTTTTGAAACTTGCTCCCCATTGAGCTCACAAACAACGGAACATTAAGATCTACCTTTTTTTTTTAGATTACTTTGTTTAACTAATTGTATTTATGTCTGTTATGTTCTTATAGGTCCTTTAGCGTATATTATGTTTATTTAACAGCCCAATATAGATAAAATTATTATGTAACTATGAAAAAACTGGAAGATATGTCACTGAATGTCAGACTTTTTTTTTTTTTTTAAACTATGACCCAACTTAGGATTATTGAAGATTCTAGGGGGAAAGTTGTCACTTTGAAATGCCTATTGTTACAATTAGAAAACCTTCCAAGTTAAAGTTAAGAACTTGTTGAAATCAACATATGACTACAGTTCTCTGTTTGTTTTCTATTTCAGTGTCAAACAGAACTCCAACAAATTCTGAACCATCTAGTGATCATCACACAGATTTCTATTTTTTTATAGTTTGATCTTATTGTCCCATTTTTGTCATCTCTTGCATTTGATACATTTTATCTTTTTTTTTTTTTTTCCGATTGATTTTGTTTTTAATGAAGTCAAGTTTCGATGTTATTTTAAACTAAATGTTGCCAAACATGTCATGATAGAGACTCATTTATTTCCTTGTATATAGGCTACCCTCATTTCAGATTAGAATCATTGTTGGTTACAAAAGTGTTTATTTTGGTTTTATTTTGAAAGTTTCCTGGTCAGCCTGTTGAAAGTACAAATTCATGTAAAAACCAAAATCTGTTGCCAGGTTGAATGTTGAGCAGTTTCAAAATGTGCTCAAATAAAACTAGTTGTTACTGTACACACAAATATAGTTTGGTTTAATTTGTCTTTTTTTTTTTTTTTTTTTTCCCCTGAAGTAAATTCTGAATGAAACCAATTAAAGTCTGTTGAGTAAGGCTGACATTTTGAAGGTACTTCACAATTTATAAAAGCCCATTTAAATTTATCTAATATATAGGCCTAATACTTTTAATGCCATTGCAACTCTTTAATTAGTAAGTTTCCTAACTTTATCTTGAGTTATTGCCCATATCATCAAAAATGCTAATTGTATCCTATTCCCGTACCAAATATCTTATGTGATTCTTGAACATTTTATGAATACAAATTATTTAGAAACAGTGTCTTGAGATCAATCCAATAGTGAATAAAAATAAGAATCAAAATAAAGGACTCAATTCTAAATGTGTCAATGGCTGTTTCAGTCTCTTCCAGCACCAGTGTACTGCCTCCCTTCTTGTTACCCATTGGCTAATGAAATATTTTTAAGACAAATTTTCTGTCTACACAAAGGACGACTTAACTAACATCTCACAAACATTTTGCTGCAGTGCACTGGGGGGGGGGAGGGCATCCTGTTTTTAGTCAGTATCCAAGAATTTTTTAAATGCCATTGATAAGGAGGAGGCACAGTAGCTGAGCGGTTAAGTGCTTTGCTTCTGTACCAGGGTTTCTGGGTTTGAATCCTGGTAAAGACTGGGACTTCGAATCTTGGGATCTTGAGTCCTCCTAGCACTAATGGGTACCTAAGTTTGGGAAAAATAAAAGGCTGGCTACATGACCTCATTAACTGTGGGCCATATCAACAGATGACCTTTACATCATCTGTCCTGTAGATAGCAAGGTCTGAAAGTGAACTTTACTTTTATTAGTAAATTAATTTAAGTATTGAAAACTGTACTAAAACAACTAAAAAGTCATTAGAAAACAAATTAGGAACCAAGTTCCTTAACCATGAGATTTAAAGAAAAAAACAAATACTAGTATTGATTTTACTTGCAGTCCTTACAACTGTTTAGATGACCTAATTTGTAGTTATAAGTTTGATCCCATGTTTACTATTTATCCAGCCTCCTGAGTTAAGGCTAATAGTTCAAGTTGGCCAGTTTCAGTCTTGTAGAGATTTAGCTTTGTGTTCATTTATTAATTAGCTTAACTGGTCAACTAAACTGTCAAACTTTGCACTCAATACCAGTACCGGTATTTCCCCTTGGTATATATTTGTGGCCCTTGATTAGTATATCCTAACTCTTTTGTACCCAAAATCACAATTTTATTCTAAAACAGTGATGCCCATAATACGGCCTGCGGGCCACACAAAACGTTTGCACAAAGTGTAGAAAATACCCTCTCCACACCAAAAAATTGCAATAAGTTTGAAAAAAAATCTTTCTCTACATTAGAGTAAATGAACTAGAATAGATAATAAGCCAATACATTTGTTACATAAAGAAAAGGTGGCTCTTTTTAAAGAACATATTAAGCATTTAAAAACTTTATATGAAACCAAACCCATAAATAAATATGACTGCACACTTGGTTTGAGACATCACACCTAAGAGTCAGAGAAGACCAATGAAAGGCTGTACACTGTTAGCTAAAGAGTTGTTCCCATTGTTAGTAGAGACATGAAGGCAACTGGGTAAAAAAAGCACTTGTTTACAGTGATGGAAAAAATGAATTCTGAAAAGAAGAATGCTTTTGAAGCTTTCAACCTTTCTCATGAAAATTACAAGGCAAGCGAAAAATTTGGGTAAATACGTCCATTCAAAACTAACAAGACAAAGCAGATTTAGAAATGTGTTTTATTGGCGCTGAAGAGTCCACAGACATTTGATACCCCTAAAAATCTTGATTTGTATTCTCGGTACCGTACAAACAACAGTTTTGAGGTTAGTAGCCATGAGGGGCATACATGGGACCACCACTGGCGAAGTCATTACAGAGGATCTTTCTCTTTTTGTGGAAGAAATAAATTGTTTATTGTCTATTTCCTTTTTTTAAAACCTTTTTGTTGATGTGGCCTGTGGCATAAGTGTTGCCTGCCAGCTCGAATGAGGTTGGGCATCACTGTTCTAAAACATTGCTGTGTGTGTGTGTGGTGTAAATAATGTATATACATACAAAACATGAAGTATTGATTCATTTAATTATATGAACAATAGTTTATTTAAAGTCTGGAATGTTTTCTTGACATAAAATGACATTATAAAATATAAATTAAAAATTTGAGTTGTATAGAATATAAAAATATTTACATCAAAACATTTCAACAAAGTTAAAGATATGTATTATTGATTGATGACACTAATTTACCAGACAGGGATCCCAATGTTAAAACTAATCAAGTGTTATTTATTATGCGCTAGAGAACCAAAAGGATCTAATGGTTTCTACTTGTGACCAACATCTGCAAAAGTTAAAATGAAAAACTGGTTTTGACAATTGTGCCTAATGAAGAAAGTCAGTTTGAATAACTAAACAGTGGTAGACCTGGCTGGACTGGTATGATTTATTACTATTTGATCATTTTAAACTAATCATAGTAACATGAAATGGTGGTATGATTATTGGATAGCCCAGCTGGAGGCCCTAGTTATGAGTCAGCATTTTGAGTTGAGGACTTGGCTCTAATATATAGCTTAACAAAATTTACCCCCCACAAGGTCACTTCATACACACATTAAGGCCAACAAAAACTTTGACCATATCAAAAGATTATTTATGAAAGTATATGAAGTAATGGGTGGCTGCCTGGTCATGTGGTATATGCTTCAGACTGTAGTCACAATGGTTCAGAGTTCAAACCCTGCCTTTGGTCATTTCCTGCCTTACGCAGGAGATTTGGGCTAGGACATAAAAAAAACACCCACATCCTATTAAACTTGACAATAGAACAATACGGTTCTACCAGAATTCAACGTCTCAAACTACTCTTGTGTTCAGCTAAGACTGGAGTCAACAATTATCTTATAGACATGATACATGGAATGATATGTGGAATGTTACTTCAACACATTGACTTCAAATCTTGACAAACAACCCTCCCTCCCCAGAGATGAATAATCCAGAGCAGTTCTTCAGACTTCCATTTTGGCTTATAGAAAGCTCTAGAAATACTAGAAACCATTGAAATATTTCATTAAGAGATCAAACTGTACAAGATGTCAATATTTTTATAGTGTTAGAAAAAAAAGCTCAATCAAGAAGAACTTGAGATTTCAAATCAAAATGTTGATACAAAGCATATTAAAAAAAAATGTCAAAACACAATGTCAACTATTAAAAATGATTGTTCTACAAACTGATGCTACAGATCAAAAAGTGTATGTACAGTCATTGACTATATACAAAAAAGGAAACTTTCCCTAGCTAACTTTACAAAAAGTACTGCTTCAGCTCTGATGTTTAAGGCCTCTGTTAGTTACAGAAAAAAAAGATAACAAAAAAACTAAGGCATCCACAAAAACTAATGCATTGAGGCCATGACTCATGGATGAAGTGATGCAGAAAGCAATCAAGAATTCTCTTCTAAATTCTGACCTGCTCCATACATATCAGCCAACCTGGCAAACTTGGGTCCCCAGCCACTGAGATAGTCATAGTCCTGGCTAGCATCACTACTGCTGGTGTTGAGAGAGCTTAGACTGCCTGCATCACTATTGGCACCTTCAAAGTCGTACTGGCGGGTGCTGTCAGCGAAGGGATCATCATCTTCGGCATCCTTGATCCTGTTGTCAATGAAAGTTCCGACGTCTGGTCTGTCTAGAC